ATCTATGAGCTTCTTCCCTGCTGGGCAGAAACTGATAAGGCCTTCACCCTACTTCCTGGCACACTGCCTGAGCTGCTCTCACACAGGTACACGAGTTTGAAGCCACAGAGCAGACGTATAGTGGTATGTATGTCACATTGAAATATTGATAAAGCGTGCGGAATAATGCAAGAGTCCTTGCAGAACGGGTTGCCCATAGGGCAAATGAAAAAATATAGGTACGAGTCACAGACACACACAAAGGCACAGGGTAGACAGCACATACCTGTATACAGAATCTCCCACATGGGAAATCATTCCATCAATATAACAGACTCTCAGAACGATGCAGAAACACACAGACATACACATTATCTTTCAAATAGGCCTACACGCACAGCCATGTTTCCAGGCTTGGTTAAACCAGGTTTGCATAGTGTGTACAGTCAGTACTCTGGTTATGAATAACCTACTATCAGGCAAAATCCCAAATCCTGCAGTTAACATAACTCTTACAGTGAGGCCCCAAGGTCCTCAATAGCACTCATCTGTTCGATAGCTAGGAGGACTTGTCAAAAACCTCTGAAGCATAGTACTGCATTACTAACAGGCAACGTCCACATATTGAAAGCATGCCAGATAAGTATGCCTACTCTCTTAAGTCTCACATAACATTCACTTCCTGTCTTTACACGTCATCCTCGGGTGCCCCCTCCTCCTGCAGACCCCAGCCCTGTCCCACTATAATGAAATGCAGTGCGGCAGACAAACAAGCGTCTGTGGCCCGGCTTCTCCACAGCACAGCCCCATACATTACACCAGAAGACAGCTCGTCAGGTAAGCAAGTATTCAGCGGTCGCCGAGGGAACCACACACTGCAGCCTTGACTACCCTGGCAGCCTTTACCTGAACCAGACTGGAAAAACTGCCGCCCTTCACGGCCGGCCTCGTCTGGTTTAAACAAACGAGAAGGGCAGACTGTGCCCAGGAGGGGGATAGGGGAGGTTGTTTTCGTGTGTCTGAGGAGGAGAGCGCTGATGCGGAATAGCAGCTAAGACAGACAGACGCTCCCTGGGCTCAGAGTAGCAGGCCCTGCTCCTGTGTGTAGCTCAGAGGGGGAGACAGGCAGCACAGCAGGCCTCTGACAGAGCACATTTTTATGGGAGTGTCTGCCGGAATGTGCGCTGCTGCGGGCACTGTGCTCACGATTTTCCAGAGAACACGGTCGCGGTTCTGCTTATGTTCAGTTCCCCCTGAATGCTAGCCAGAACACCCAGAAAGAGTTTACATGAATATGTAAGAAATTGTTTTATTTTGGGGTCTACATTTCAATCCAAGGCAAGGGTTGTCAATTTAATCTACATCCTGTTGGACAACAATAACAAGGGCCTTGTTCTCGCACAACGGGGAGTATGAGGAGTTCAAACCCATGGGCGTGCAGTGCACACACAAGTATCGGCATCTCTGATGTCTGGTAATGTTCTCCATCGTCTTTCACCAGACGCTCCATCTATCGACCCAAATAGATAACACCCACTTACAGCGGTCGACTCCACAAGGCCTTCCAATGCCCATTAGACAAATTATAAACTCGCCCCCGGCATCACTAGGCTATAGAGGGTAGGAAATGCCTATGCATCGTTCTATCACCACAAAAAGGTGACCCCACCCACATCCTCCACTAGAGTAATGCAATGTGCATTCAGGTAGCTTAGTGGTTAAGAGCGTTGTGCCAGTAACCGAAAGGTCGCTGGTTCTAATCCCCGAGTCGACTAGGTGAAAAATCTGTCTATATGCCCTTGAGCAAGGCACTTAACCCTGATTGCTCCTGTAAGTCGCTCTGGATAAGAGCGTCTGCTAAAATGTAAACGCACTCTGGCAGCAAAAGTAACAGACATCAAATGACAAGAAGAGGGACCGCATGAGAATATGTGATTATTATAGCCTTGGCCTATCCCGTGTGCAAAAACAAGTGGGGACAGGGATTGGGTGGTTCAGCTTGAATGACAAGAGTGTACATGTGCCATAAAGCTAGTGTTGTTTCCGTTGGCAGCATAAATAACATGAGACAACGACTGACAGGAACAACATGCTGCAGAACATGTGTTACTGCAGTACTGAATGACATGAGACGAAACAGACAAGACCACGATAATACAGTCACTGTTTTATATTACACTCGCTAGCCTATGCGTGCACACACACAAAGCCCTCACAGATGGATGTTGTGATAGACATTGAGTGGACTTTTAAAAGTCTTGCCAATTTCACTGAACGTGTGAGGCATGGCTCTGTTCCCTTGGAGTTTTAAATCTTCCACACCCTTATCCGGAGTAGGGTGTGTGAGCTGCTAGCAAACACTGGATTTTGATAAGACACTATTGCAACTGAACAACTCCAAATTATTGTTCCAACCAGAAAACAGCATCCTGAAAAACCAAGACGCTTAGCTTGACTTGAGTCAAATTGACACTGATACAAATTACACAAAGTAGTTTTGGCTTTGAAATTGGCGATGGTAACGTATCACTTGATTATTTCTGGATTTAGGGAGAACTGAAACTAGATGGTTAACCTTTGAAATCACGAACACTCATTAATCTCGCTAGCTAGCTTCGTTAACGGAAATTAACAATTTGGGCTAACATAGTAAGGTAGATTTAACAATGCAATGGAGAAAAAGTTCATCTTTATTGACCAACAAACTAGTTCATCATAATTGATCGTTGTATGCCATAAATCACAATCTGATACTGACTGGTCTGATGTTTGGCTGATGGCAATGTTAACCACATTACCGTCTTTGATAACGTAGCTAGCCAGACGTTAACGCAGCGAGCTAATACGGGCTTGTTTGTGGTGAAAACAGGAAACGCTTCGTTCAAGCATTCAAATCTGTGAAAATCCAACGTGGCAAATGTGAAATTAAAATCAGATAATTTAAACGTCTAGTTAGCTAGCTAACATAGCTAGTTGGTAAACCTAATTAGCTAGCTAGCTAACGGTTCATCAAATCAAAAAGCAAGTTAGCTAACGTTACTAGTCTTTCACATCCACACAGACAGGTAACGTGCTATCTAGCTAATGTTAGTTAGCCTACCTGACCGGGCATCACAAATCATTAACAAACACGCTAAAGAAAATTGTATTGAAAATTGAATGTATAATACACAAACAGAAGCAGGTGACTGCGAATTCAAATGCTTGGTTGCAAATATTTTTTCCCTTACCTTGTCCAGACAGTTCACTTTTTCCGTGGGGTACACGATTGTGCCACATCTGCCACACGACGGATTCATGTTTGAGGAATGCTGTCTAGCTGGATAAATTAGACGATTAAAAAAATATCTGTCGAGTAAAAGTGTTCTTCCCTAACAATACGGGTCGAGTTTGATGGCTGGATTGATCAAATCCCAGAGATTGTTGTCGTTATAATCGCACAGCTGGCTGTCAGTACACGAACCAGACACGTAAAGCGCGGGCACGGCGCCTCTCTTTCCAATGCCGCGCTCCCGAGGAGAAAGGAAAGAGGGCGGTCCCACGGGGAGATGCTTCATTTCAGAGGCGACGTTCATAATTGGAAAAATCTCGTGATCAGATATCAATCTATGGAGATCCATCAGCGTATACTATATTTGATATTTGTATTATTTTAAATTATACTGAAATCCAACGCAAATAGCAATACTCAATACTTTTTAGTTGGTTGATTCGATGGAATGCGGAACTAGATTTATCACACCACCGTCACTAGTTACCACATCCACAAAGTCATAAACCCCGCCTATTTCTACAATTTATCTTCCTAAAATTTGATTTTAAACCTAACCCCAACCTTAACCCTAAACGTAAACCCACTGCTAACCTTATGTCTAACCATAATCTTGAATTAAGACCAAAAAGCTAAATTGTGTTTTTATTCATTTTTTTCGATATAGTTAATATTTACTTTGTGGCTGTGCTATCTAGTTGAAACGACCATCACCGTGGAACAAGCGCACGACAAACTCGTCAACATGACACAGAAAAAGTATCTAGTATACACGCCAACGCTTTTTATTACACATGATGATCATGACACCTGCCACAATCTGTATGTAGGCTACTGTGTAGGACTACATGGAAGAAAGTTTGGGTGACATCTGCTGTCGCAAATCAGAATTGGTTTCACTGGTCAGGATGCAGACATTATAGGGCCACTTCGAGTGTTCTCCTTTTCTGGTTGACATTACAATTACAACAAACATTATTCATTAAAATGCCTTTATTCTGTCAAAGTACTATATCTCAAAACAATATCCTCAATCTGACATTAATTAAAATTGGAAATTCAAGGTCATGTATGAAGAGCACTCTGCTGTTTTGAAGTCATTGAATTGCCTCTGGTCAATTTATGAAATACATTCTTGGCATATATATATATATATATATATATATATATATAAAGCTATACAGGTACAAAACATTCAAACATGAACTGTACATTAAAAAAGAAGTTGCAGAGATGATCATTGAAAAACATCCACAACTGGTCTTCATTCTTGTCATGGAAGAGCAGGGATACAGAGTCCTTTATAGTGTTTTTTTCCATGGATGTTGATAGTCATAATGTATCACAGTTTATTCCAGTTACATGTCCCATGGAGGTGTGTGGTAAATGGTGAGATAGCAATCCGTACCTGCTGAGAAACTTGGAACTCATCCACACCCATAGTGAACAAAGACATTCTAGCAAAGCCTAAAAGTGGCCTGTTCTCCCTTGTCCCTTTCCCTAAAACCTGAGTCGTGGATGTGTAAGAGAAGAGTTCAAAACTTTGTCCACCAAAAATTATTGAAAATGCCACCCACTTTTTAGCCAACAAAGACCAGGACTATATTGAGGTGAATATTAAAAAATGAATGAACAAAAAAACATTATTTGTGTAATGGAGTAAGGGATGTGTGTGTAACTCTAAACTCTCTCCTTCCTCTCCTACAAACTCATTTTAATCTCCTCATCATCCAGTTGCTCCTCAGTCCGGTCAGCACTGGCCAGCTTCCATGATGCCCTCCTTCTCGTGACCTTCAACCTCCATCTCTGCGTAGCTGGAGTGGAATCCCTGCTTCCTGAACTTCATGGATGGCCAGTAGCTGTTGCGTCACTATTGAAATAAGATCATACAGGTCATTGTTTTAAAAGGTTAAAGAGAATGGGAGGAGAAGTCTACATTTAGCAGGACATAGACTGACAGAGCTGGCTGAATGTGAGCCCTGATAGTGTTACTAACCTGTAGGAAGTAGAGGGGTGAGAGTTGATGTAAAGAGCCAGCAGTGTTACAGCCAGGAGTAGCACCAATGCAGCTACTACACCTGCTATAACTCCTGTGTGAGCTGACCCGTCGTGTTGTCTCAGTGGGCCTGTCTTCACATCTAACCAGGAAAGAGAGACAATGTACAATCATAATCCTGTAACATGGCTCCATATACACAACTAATTTTACATTTTATTTTACATTTTAGTCATTTAGCAGACGCTCTTATCCAGAGCGACTTACAGTTAGTGAGTGCATACATTCTTTTTTTATTTTTCATACTGGCCCCCCGTGGGAATCAAACCCACAACCCTGGCGTTGCAAACGCCATGCTCTACCAACTGAGCTACATCCCTGCCGGCCATTCTCTCCCCTACCCTGGACGACACTGGGCCAATTGTGCGCCGCCCCATGGGTCTCCCGGTCGCGGCCGGCTACGACAGAGCCTGGATTCAAACCAGGATCTCTAGTGGCACAGCTAGCACTGTGATGCAGTGCCTTAGACCACTGCACCACTCGGGCTCAAAGTAAATAAAGATCCACCCACCTTTACCATTGTATAGAATCACACGTTTGGTGTCATCTGCAGGAAGATCAAATGTAGGCCCGTTTGAATATTGAGCAGTTAGGACTCAATTTGAGCAAGAACAATGATGCCATAGTAATGCTCTAGTGCTCAGTGTCTCTCTTTAGCCAGTGCCTACAGTAATCTGAGTGTTCTTGGAACATGCAAAGAAATTGCACAGAAATTGAGTTCAGGAAAATAACAATGGAAGCAGTTTGAGTCACTCAAACTGCTTCCATTGTTATTTTCCTGAACTCAATTTCTGTGCAATTTCTTTGCATGTTCCAAGAACACTCAGATTACTGTAGGCACTGGCTAAAGAGAGACACTGAGCACTAGAGCATTACTATGGCATCATTGTTCTTGCTCTGTTTAACACTGCTGCATGCACAGTTGAACTCTGATACTCCGATATAAACCCTCCCAGGCACACTCATTTACACCCTTGACTTACTCTCCGTGGCAGGGCCTTCTAGTAGGAGCCCCAGGGGAGTGGGGACCTCAGAGTCTGAGGGAACTGAAGGGTCAATGGAGCTGTCTGGTCCCCCCCTGGAATAATCCTCACAGGTGACATCTTCGGCCTGTCCATATAATGGATGAGAATTGTGGTTTTAACAGAGGAAGCTTAGACTGTGATTTACATTTGATGTACAGTACATGTAAAGTATGTGAACGTTCATTGACATTGTCCAATTGTACCTCTTCTGAACAGGCGTAGTCCAGCCACTCCTGCCTGTGTCTGTCCATTCCATCTGAGCACCTGAAACAGACACAGATGTCAAACACAAAGAAACAAGGACTCCTTTATTCAGATAGGGACCTACACTCCTCTCCTGCTCCCCTCTGGAGGACGTTGCACCAGGTACAGCCAGAGGTTAGGTTGGATGAGAGGCAGAGTTCACAGCTGTCATGCTGCAGACAGGCTGGACAGAGGGAGGGAGAGACAGAGAGACCTGGGTTTTGATTCTGTAGCGACATCATTGGCATTAACATTATAACGATCTCTAAGCTGTGCCTGTGACTGGTTATTGAGGATGAAATGTCTGAGAGGCCTGTATGAGGGATAGTTTTGAGCTGCTTACTAGGCAATGCAGTGAACTCAAAAGGCAGAGTTGTTGGTGATCTTAGTTGTATCGATGTCCACCCGATGGTACTCGTAGAGCCGACGTTGGGCATCTATGTGAGAGATTTGGTTTCAGATAATTTTAGCAAAAGTCAAAGACTTGCCAACCTGGATAACTGTGAGTTAGGGTTAGGGAACCCCTTGCTGCTAACCTGAGGATTGAGGGGAAGGCAGGTACACCATGAATGCATCTGATAACCCTGTCTTCACATGGTGCTCAGCAGAACTTATCACCTCCACTGGCAAAGGTATCTGAAAGAGCGAGAGAGACAGGTAGAGAAAAATGGACAGAGAAACAGAAAAGTGTGACTGTGTTTAGATGGAATACATTAAAATCAGAGACGTGTTGTACAAGGTTCATAAGTGTGCATGTTGTAAGTCTCTCTCACATCTCTGTAGCTGAAGGTGATGGTCCCTGTGAGGTGCAGGGCAGCCTGGAAGGTGTATGCCCCCTCTGCCTCCCTCCCATAAAGTCTCACCTGCTCCCACTGCATCACAAACACCTCACCTGGGGACAGTACAGGATAGGTCACACAGAGGTCAACCAAGGGTCAAAAGTCCAATAACAAGAGCTGTCTGAATGTTACTCTATGGCTCACCATTGTCCAGGTACTGCACAGTAGACTCCTTGGAAAAGTTGGGGTCAAAGTTGGCCATGACGGGGGCGATGTACTGTGTTGCTGTCAGCATGCGGTGTGTGACCTCTCCCATGAAAATAAACCCTGGGGAAGGTCAGAGGTCAGGGTTCTATGGAGATGCATGGCAAGTGGCAACTGGTAGTTACATTTCATTCATTCTAGGCTTAATGTAAGTAACAAGCAGGGAGTATAAAGGAAGAAATATGATAAGTGGCTCCATCTGAGTCTGAACATCTTGCCATGTGTCGGAAGAATAATGAAATGTACCTCCTGTTGCTATGGTAATCTGCCTCAAGTAATGTCCGTAGAAGGGGAAGTCAAACGAGAGGGCAACCTTCTGGAAAACAAGGAAGAGAGAGAGGGAGGGAAATAAAATGTGTGCGCGCGCGTGTGTGTGTGTATCTGTGTGTATCACTCACCGCAGCCTGTCTGTGTGTATTGGACAAAATGCCATGCATTCTGACTTGGCCATGCTCTAGGTCGTTTGGATCTACCCAGAGTTCATCTGTGCACTGGTCATCAGGGCCAAAACTACGCCATGTGTAATACCTACCAGCGTCCTCCTGTTATAGAAACAGTAGAGGTGAGGGAAAGAGGAGAAGTTGAGGGATGGGATGGGAGAAATACAATAATGGTGTGAGAGGTGGAGATGAGATGTTATAATGAACAACAGGGTTAACAATGAAAGCAACATTTGAATGCAAGCCCACACAAACAAACACACACTCTACATTGAGTTCCAGTCTCCAGTATATTACATAGTAGTTTAACAAGAGAGGGATACTAAATATAAATAATGCAGGCTGCATACTAAATAAGGTAAGGGGATACGCTTTTAGAAACCTTAGGATATCCTTGAATGTCTTGGACTGCAAATTTCAGCAGCAAGGTTGAAATTATTCATTGCAATTTGATTTAGTCTACATTGTTCAACTCTTTTCCATATACCCTCTGCAGTCTAATGCAGTTCAACATTGATTTGTTTTGTATAAGGCCAGCAGGGATCAGTATTCTACCACCACAACTGGAACAAGCGAATCTCCCATTGACATACTGTATGTACACATCACTAGTGTGTTGTTGGACCACTGCCCCAGCGCCACTCACCACTAAGTGTGTCATGTTGTCTGGTAGGGTGTCGATGGTCAGTCCTCCTCCCAGTACCTCCCTAGCCACCCTGGCGTAACCCAGCCTCGGCTCTCTGTTGGTCCTGTGTGATGGCTTCTCATGCTGCTGTCCATTCACATGATACCGCATCTCTGTCCAAAACACAGTGAGTCAGTGACACAGATCAAGTCAGTGTCAGTCAGAAGATCCATGTTTGAACCCCCTCGGTCAATTATAAACATGCTACTCTGAAGATATTTAACCAAGCTACCAATTACTTCTCACTGGACGAAGTTAAGCTACACTAAAGCTACCCTTACGAAAAATATAGTTTACTTAACTAAAGTTACTTTGGAAAAATAGTTCACTACATCCAAACTACTTTGTGATAAATGATCACATCTAAATCTGAAATGTCATGGACTACAAATTGCAAGAATTGATCACTCTGTAGTCAGATGTCAACAGAATGTTAAAATTAGCCCATTAAACACAAAAACAGTTTCAAGTGAGAATTAGGCAGATCTGATGCTGAAAAAGAAAGGAAATTCTTGCCTACTTCACCCACTTTTTATTTTTGCAACTACTGAAAACACCACCTAGATTAGAATGAAGTTCAACTACCACCAAGCTACTGCAAAATGTAGTTAAATTACTAATTGAACTACATGTAGTTCACTACTCCCCAACACTGGCTATAGGTTACTGCATAGCCCTGAACCGAGTGTGTATTACTCAATGCAATGGTTTGGATATGGTGGGCTGAAAGTGAACATAGCATGGACATATCTCTGGCCATGAGGGAAAGCTGGCATGCATTTCAACTTTTGAACTCCATTTTCCAGAGTTCCTACACCTGCACATGCACGCACGCACCCACACACATATTGTTAGAAATAGCGTTAGTTCAAATCTGGTATTGGAATAAGAGAAAACATGATCAAGAGGTATTCAATTCAAGCTACATTTATTATATGCAAAATGTATGTATGATAAGTGTGATGGTTCGTATACGGGCTCACTGAAATACCACGCAGGGCAGACAGAGAACTGATCCATTGTTACAGGCTCTTCTTCAAATACTCTGACAGAGATAGTTCCCGCTCCCTGCTGGCCTATCAGAGTAGAGACTGAGCGTGGTTTAGACTTACTCAGCCTATCGTTGGCGCACAGGCTGGTCCCAGCCCCTTGGCGCTTCACTGTTGCACACTGTTGCCAGGCATAAGTTGTTATCATCACACCTTGTCCCGAGTCAGCACCCATAGACACAGTTCCCCTGTACTTTCCCACCCTAACTATACTCTTTGTACCTACGTCCTTGGACGGTACACAAAGAGGCAGTGTTCGTGTATGTGAGACACAAGTTCTTATCTCCCCCTACTCCCTAACAGCTCCTCACATGAATCACAGCTTGTTATGTTAAACAGTCTATATCAGTACAGCACAAACCTATTATGTTTAATCATTAATGTATTCTTTCTAAGCTAGGCATCACATCTAGTTATAAGAAAATAGATCCCCACAATCCCCCTTTTCACACCCACTGGGTGTGAACCCAAAATAAGAGAACCCAAAATAAGAAAATTCAGGGAAATTTAGGATTCTCCCTATTGACACCCTCTAGGGTGTCACTCATTAAAATACAATACAAACAAAAAGAATCACACTTTTATTAATAGGCAATAATGATAATAAAAAAGCCTTCAGTCCTTCCATCTACACCTAACTTGTACTAGGTTGGCTACCAGCCACCCAGGAACTTCAAACCTTCACATAAGGAAAGACAAACATTCACAATGGTTAACTTGATTAATAAAGCATAAAACACAAAGATTAATACATTTTGACCCCCTTTAGACACCCTCTAGGGTGTCACTCCACCACCTCACCAATAGCAAACCAAGGGTCATCCTCAGTCAACTTCATCTCAGTGTCTGCATCTCCTTCTTGAGCCCCTAGGAGGGGCATCATACCAGCCGAATGCACGACATCTGTAACAGACTTTCTCAGACAATGAATTACACAGGCAGTACAGCACATTAATATTAGAAACACAACTACTAGGTTCAGAAATCCAGTAACCACCAATAGTTGAATACTTGCCAAACCAATCACCCAACCAGGAGAACAGTCCGTTTCCCTCCATTCCAGCCATGCTCTTCATTTCAGCTGATAGTTTATCTAAACCAACTAGTCAGGACTGGTATTGTTAGGGATAAATGTACAACAATGGCTTAACATTCTATAGACACCACCCCTTTCTGCCTGATCTAGAGCCAACCTCTTTTTACTAAGTCATAAGAGTGAGATGGCGGATAATTGTTCAAAAGATCCCTTCTGTTGCATCCCTAGTCCAGCCAATAAATCGTTGTTGGTCGTAATAGATATAATTAATCCAATTCACAATTTTGTTTATTGTCACCCACCAAAAGAACGTGGTAGTAAACCCTTCCCCTAATTGTTTCATAGCTCGGTATCCATCCAATACCCCCCTTGGTAGCCCAATCGCATCCATCTAAATAGGGCTATTCTCCTTCTTGTTAAAACTCCTCCTACATCTGTTTAATCATTTGTTCCTGGTGACTACTTCTAACTAGTTGTACCAGTATAACCAGGGCGCATGTATCTAGCCACCCCTTTGGAATTCTCTGCCTTACACTGCCTTTACTGGCACACGCCCACCACACATCGGTTACAGGGGCTGTAAGGTTCAGAATTCTCTCCTGTGCTTCCGAACTTAAGTCTCCAATTGATAATTGGTGATGTCTTTGTTTCTCTTTACCCCCCATCTGGATGTTCAGTCCCCCTCGGTCTCATATCCCCATCCCCAAGTGTATTTAAACACTTGAGTCTAGGAACAATCCGCCGTGGGGTCCAAACATTAATATAATAGGATTTTATAATCCCAATTTGCTTATTGACATGTACCCCACCCATTGGCTACGTCCCTAACCCTTATTTTGAATCTGACAGTCTGCCCTTCTCTGACTCCCATTTTGTAGGCCACTCGTCCTTGACGGTCAGTATGTCGGGTTGCTTCTCTTCTCTTTTACTTCTTAACAATGGTAAGGGCATAGCATAATTGGTGGTGGATCTTGACATATCGAGACCATTGCCGAGACTATTATGCAACTCAAGTTATCCATATTCCCAAAAACCGCCAACCCTCTCCTGTCCTCAGTCTTTCTGCTTGGTACTACCCCATACTCACACCTCTATAAACACCCCACAGTGATGATAGGTCAGGGTAGGGGATCTTCGTTAACAGAGTTTACCCCCAGACCCTATTGGTTCCAGTTCTTCTCTTTAACTCTGTGTGTGTTCAACGGTGTTGGCATGTGGGCCTATCTTTTTGCAGTGAGTAACGTTGACCCAAGTGGCTCTCTCATCTATTCTAATGGCAAAGGCAGTGACCAATATAACCTGATAGGGCCCTTCCCAACAGGCCTGCTTCCAGTTTTTCTTCTTTAGGGACTGGATGCTCACCAGTCACCTGGTTAGATAGAGTGGGTCACCTTCTCCTTTAGTTCACCAGTGGGGCACAAAACCTCTGACATACGGGTGTGGTTAATAAACTATCTTCACACATGTTCAGCTCTCAATTTCAATTTCTGACTTTATTTTATTTTTTTGTATTTTGTCCTCTCCTTCGTATATATTTATTATTTAATCCTACCATCTCCTTATCATCCCCCTTTTGACACATGTTTTGCTCATGTGTCAATATTACCACCTACCTAAACAATCACTTAGGTAATATTGGTAATTTATCATCCAATTGCCATCCCTTATTTATTTTTGAGACTGTCCCTTGCTTCTTTATTGCTCCTATCTTCCTAATCTCATTACTAAATAAATGATCTAGGTAATAGCTGTTTCGCATTAGATTGTGCCTTCCTCTGATTACTGCAGCTCATTGCATTAATTTAGTTTCAAATACCAACTTGTTGTTTATTAAAGCATACTAAAAATGAAATTTAAATGACAACATTTGATAATACCTCAATTTACTTCTATCCCGTAAAAGTAATCCAAGATTAGTACAATTGACTAGCAACATGTATCCCTCATTCAGGGAAAGCTCTCTCTCTCTTCTGTTATTTTATGGTTCAAATCATATATATTATTACCAAATTATAATCTTCTTCACACTTTTCACAGTATTATAAATTACCCTCAACTTGGTAAAATAAACTATCTTAAAGTCCTCCTCTCATGCCTTTAGAATTTACCAGTGTGGATGATTAATTAACACCAGAAGGTTAAAACAGAGTTCAGAGGCAATTGAAATTATTCAACAAACTGTTCCATCCCATAGTATACCAAACATTACCATTATTCTAAATATTTCATAAATGTTACTTATCCCAGGTGTTCATTAAGTCCTCATGACATTCATTCTCATAAGAAATCATATATACCCCAAACTCAGCAAAAACCGAAAAACTCCATAAAATTCACTGTGCGTGCTCCTCTAAGACCTATCACCCTTGACCTGCTGAAAACCCCCCACAATTGAAACAACATGGCTTTATAAACATCATACTAGGTGTGTTGTTTTTTGTTTGAAAAACCCAATTTGAAAAACAACAACCACAAATAGCCAGGCCTCACTTGATTTGGTAGCTCACTTTTATGACCTAAATACTGCCTAACTTCACTACTGCTCCCCCTAGCCCTTGGCAACATTCCAATGAGATAAGCTAATCTCTTTCTCCTGGTTATAATTTAAAGATGGTAGTACACACAAAACATGATACAGATATCCCCATTCCTAACCCATCAATAATTGTTTGTATCAATCTAATTCCTCATAACTAATCCATAAAACCACTCAAAATTCCTCGAGTATACAATGATTATTTAATTGATTACCCTAAATCTGCTACATGTGATCTCATCTCAAATGATCCATTATCAATTATTTGTTCAACCCCCTAGGAAAATCTGTCTCCCCTTCTATTGTTCCTGTCCCCCCTGTAAATGTCATATTTCAGTTTTTTAGCCAATACAATCACGGTTACATCAAAAGTAATGCAATGGCTATATTAGGGTGTAAGGTAAATTATTCCTGTTTTCTTTTTCAGCTAAACGTTTTATATCCCTCAGTTAATGGTATTTTCTCCCTAATATATCTTCATACTCTTCTG